CGGGGACAATGCGGCGAAGCGACGCACGAGGTGAAGCTCCCGCTGGAACAGAGAGGCGAGCGTGGAAGAGGTATTCACGCGGTAGGACGAGCGGGTGGTGGACGTGATGCGTTGGGAATTGTAGAGGCCGGTTGCGCGGACTGTATGGTTCTAGCGCGTGCGACTCTTTTATCTTTCAATGTTTAGAAATAAACGGCATTCCGTTGATTTTTTTTTCTTTAAATCTTTGTAGTCATTCTTTTCTACATAAATCAAATCCATTTTTCGCGAACCCCATGTATTCTTAGACTTTTATATAACGTTATAAATAAATATTTACATATTTATTATTTTTTTACCGATATTTCATTATGTGATTAAAGACTTAAATGACGTATAATAGTGCACGTTCTTCTAGAGTTTCCTAAAAGTGCACCCGCGCCAAATTTTCTGCGTTGCTTGGTAACGACTCGCGTACCTTTATCTCGCCCAGATAATTCCGTCCCGATGAGGCAATGATAGATGGGCCTAGTTGAGCTGCCTCCAAATGGGCGCGAGGGGCGGAGGCCGCCGGTGCGCGGCGCGGCGTCGATGTTTTTTCGCCGTCGCTCCTCCTCCGGTCTCTTCCACTTTCCAACTGGTTAGTCCTCGTTATGGCTAGCCTGATGTCGTCATGGGCAGTTAAACGAAGAGGGTTAATGCGTTTCTTGTCCGACTTCCTCCCGAAGAGGACGGCGCCCGATGCGAGTTCTGCAGAGCCTCCTCTGTGCCCGTCCTCCCCGTTTTCCTCGTCCTCCTCGTCCTCGACGACGGTGACAGGTGGCCGAGGCGTGACCCCCCGGCGGCCCGTCCTCTCAGCAAATACGACTCTTGTCGTATGAATGGTTGGACCTCAAAACCCGCCTTCAGGAAACTGAATTTTCATTTAAAACGTTTCAAACCAACTCACATAGCACTGCTCTTCGTCTACCCTGTTATGTTCTCCATCTGATCGATACACTTGTTTTCTTGTTGCTCCTGCAGTCTGACTCGTGTTGATTTAGCCAATGTGACGTTTCGTTATGTCAGAGAGACGCTCTGAGACTAATTGTCTTATTCTGACATCGCAAGACTTCGATTTCATCTGAATTTTAATAATTCGAATTTTGTCCACACATTCTCAATTTTCTGTTTTTGCGTTCATTTCAATATCATTTTCATGTGTTCAATGCCTCGTGCGTTGGTCTTTTCCTCCTTACGTGTTCCTTATTCAGGTCCAGTTATTTATGTGTTTATCTTCCCATTTATCTATTAACGTAACGCAGGAAGATAAAAAAGTGCTAAAATGCAGAGTTGGGCGAGAGCCGCAGCCCGACGTAATAAAAACGCGTAAGACGTTATACGAAAAGTAAAACAAGAAGTGCTGAAACAGGAAGGGAATTAACGAGGAGTAAAAACGCTCTCGCAGGAGTGGGAGTCATGGAGTAGTAATTTGTCGTGTGGTCAGCGTTTGTAGTGAGAATTAAGAAAATACATACACACAAGTGTTATTATAATACGCTCGGGAGGAGGGTTACGAAAACAAAACGCCGACGCACGATAATGGCTTTCTTCTGCTTTGTTTACTCGGAGGGGTTTTTGTGCCTGCTCTGAGCGTTTCTTCGAATGTGGCCAACGGCTTGATCGGATCGCAAACAAGCGAGGCGAAGTTTCGATCCCCGCCGGCAGCGGCGCTTTCGTGCCGGGCGGCCGCCACCGCAATTAATGTGCTGCGGGCAACTCGACGGCGCCTCCTAGCGCTGTCTTCGCCCGGCCGTCGTGTCGCGTCGCCCCTCTTGCCTCCTCTTCACTCCGCGAAGCCAGCCGGTGCCTCGGGGTCTATTCTCGCGGAGCCGCCTATTGCTAGCGCGACTATTTTCGATATCACGTCACGATTTCGACCAGTACGAAATCTACTTGAGTCTAATTAAAACAAATGCAAAACAATTAATTTTTCGTACTTCGCCGTGAAACAACACTAGGGTATCGTCTATACTGAATTAATAAATCCGAGAGTGAATTCGTTGTATTGCAAAAAATTAATAAAATATCTCGCGAAGGCCTATTCAGTTCTGTCGGTTTTTATGATTAAAGTTGTGAAATATGGGCCAAAGGATCAACATTTCTACTGCTTACTTTTCTTTTAACGCCAAGCAAATTCCTTCGTGGTCTTTCCCGTAACTACCGTTTGCTCCCATCGTTACCATATCGCGCAGCATCTGTCATAAACCTGGCTCCCCCGTCAAGCGGTGTACAGTTACGCTATTTAAATTATCGACTGGATCCGTGCGGTCATCTCGCAACTTCTCCGAGAGAAAATAAAACAGGTGTTCGTTTCCTGGCGAGTGAAGCCAACGGTCATTCCTGCCTATAAAATTGTAGCGGTTTTTGTGAACGCTATAAAACAAACCCGAGAAGTTTATGTTCTCTAAAAGTTTTACTTTAAAAGCTTGCTTGTTACCGGAACGCTTAAAATTAAGCACTTTTTAGACGCAGTGCGTCGCGTGTGTTACTACGTTTCTATTAGTTCCGTGATTCTCCGCGAGGGGACGAGTGTGAGAAACTTGTGATAGAGCGAGGGCTCGTTGCTCTTTATTCTGATAGGTGAAGGAAATCGCGTTGCCAGAAAGAGCTAAAGTCAATTAGGAAAAGTCTTTTTAGTGTCTACATTCTCATCAAGAAGACGCCT